TTAAATAACATTCTATTCGTGCGCATACTCTTCTTTAAGATTTTTCGAGGCAATGAAAATTGTGCTTTCCATACACAGGACTGCTGTGAATGGGACATGAAAGCTGAGCCATCTTTCTCACAGCTTAGGTTGCATAGTCTGTTTCTTTAGTTCTTAGACAGGAAAGAAAGTCTCAAGATCAAAATCACAAAAAAACTTTTTAGAAAACAGGTAAACAATTCATATTCTATGGGACATAGTCAGACAGTTCATAATTATAAGGATCATAAAATAGGATGACTGCAGCCGAGAGCAATTGATGATTTGGAAAAACATAATAAAAAGATGAGTGTTATACATCAAAAATGACAAGACAGGTCCTCCCTGGAGACGCAAGGGGTTAAGGCTCAGCACTATGAAGCAATCTGCAGCTACAGTAGCACCAGTTCGACCCCAGCCAGGGGTCTCTCCCACAGTAGACCTCTCCTGCCTCGCACGCTGCTCCCCTCACCAGTGTATAGTAGATCTGCCTGTTCTGTTCCCCACTCTGTCTCTGGTGAACCTACTCACACCCTCCCACCTCTACCCTGTAACCCAGCTCTTATTTGCATAAATAAATAAACCTTTAAAAAAATGAAAGGACAAGATTCAAAGCCAGAGGCTTTATTGGCCACATAGAAATGGACTTTCTTCAGAGAGAAGGCAGATAAAACCGAGGACTAATCTCAGGACTTAATCACAGACGAGCAGTTCCCAGGCTAGGTAGGTCTACCATGCCAAGGTCAAGACCAAGGTCAAAAGTAGGACCCTGAACTATGGGATGGGGCACCTACATGATTGCCCATGATCTGGAGTCTCCAAATTTCCCTACATCCTCTGTATTTGCCATGGTGCTACTTTCCCTGTGATATTTTGTGCCGCATCTCTTTTTGAAGATGACGCAGAAAGAGTACACGCTTCCCCTCACTACTGTCTTCCACATCTCTTGGCTAAGACCAATAATTAGTATTAAGTTACAACACAACTCACCTAGAAAATGACTGAACCTGCTAAAGGGAATTTATACCCCCAGCACTATGCAGGACTCAAAGGTGGCCGCATGGATAGCGCTGTTCCTTCCCACACAGGCACAGTGTCTCTCTTTGTAATATGAATAGTAGTTGATGACATTACCCAAAACCATTATCTCATTAGAAGTTGTGAGCTTGTGATACTGTAAATCTATTACTCTTCCAACCTCATGAATTTTTGGTTGTCCTAAGGAATAATAAATATAAGAAAGGCAAAATAAAGTATTGTGTTCTTTTTTTTTTTTTACTAAAATCTTATTTAATTCTAATTACATTGTCCAGAACTTCCAGAACTCACTGAGATGAAGCATTATCATACCCACCCCCAACCCCTTAAGTTGAATGTCTTTGGGGTTCAATATTTAATTCTGGCTTGGTTCTTGAATCAAGATATATTGTCTTTATAATATATAAAGCATCCTCCTAATCTTACTTTTCTAAAAGTTTTTTTTTTTTGAACTTACATCTTGCCATCTTAGTGGATTTTTTTTTTAAATAATAAATTTTATTTTTATATTCCCCATCAATTGCAACTCACCCATTCTGACCCCAATCCCTCCCCTCCCGCCCCCCACCTCCCAAAAGTGTCTCTGGTTCATAGTTTTTTGTTGATTTTGATTTTCACTTTCTTATAGTTATTCATTTTCCTGGTTTTATTTTTTAAAGATTATTTATACAAGAACCGGGGTACAGGCCAGATGTGCAGGAGGGTGAGAGGATTCACCAGATACAGAACAGAACAGGCAGACTGACAAAAACAGGCAGACTGACAAAAACAGAACAGGTAGACTGAGGGGAGCAGAGGGCCAGACAGGAGAGGTCTGCTGCGCCATGTGGGTTTCTCCCCTGCTGCCTGGGAACTAACTCGCACTGCAGAGGCAACAGACAGCTTCACAATGTAGCACTCAACTGCCTGCGCCATCAGGGAGGCCCAAGTATTTCATTCTTATTCTACATTTGCCATTTAGTAATACCAAAAACACCACCAAGAGGTTTTTTTTTTTTTCTATTTTAATGTGAATTAAAATGAATGCTTGGGGGCCTCCCCGGTGGCGCAGCGGTTGAGCGCTGGGTTGCGAAGCTGCCCACAGCCTCTGCGGCGCCAGTTCGATCCCCAGCTGCTCCCCGACCACCAGAGGAGGGTCCCACATGGCGCGCAGACCTCTCCTGCCACCCGCTGCTCCCCTCAGCAGTGTACTTCGGTCCTTCTGCCTGCTCTGCTCCCTGCTCTGGCTCTGGTGAATTCTCTCACCCTCCCGCGCTTCTGACTGTACCCAGTGCATGTATAAAACAAACAAACAAACAAATAAATAAAAAACATGCCTCTAAAAAAAAAAAATTAAAAAAAAATGAATGCTTGGATTTTAGTATACTTGATGTCATATGAGTCTATTCCAGTTTACATTCCTGTGGATGCTCAAATAAGCAAATTCAGGATGAATGTACTTCTGACATGAATCTAGTAGTTTTGGAAGATTTTCTTGCTTTTTTTTTTAAAGATTTATTTATTTATTCAAGAACTGAGGTACAGGACAAATGCTCGGGAAGGTGAGAGGATTCACCAGAGACAGAGAGGGGAACAGAACAGGCAGACTCACGAAATACACTGCTGAGGGGAGCAGCGGGAGCAACAGGAGAGGTCGGCCCCACCATGTGGGACCCTCACCTGCTGGCTGGGATCAAACCAGCACTACAGAGGCTGAAGACAGCTTCACAGCCCTGTGCTCAACCACAGGCGCCTACCCACCAAGGGGAGGCCCAAGATTTTCTTGCTTTTGATAGAACAAGGCATTCCAGACTCATTGTACATCTCCTTCCGCAGACTTCCAGAGAGCAGTTTCATCTCTTACCCCTAGACTGTCCACCCTGCAAACTTTCTTCCCACTCTCAGTACTCCACCACCCCCAGCTCAATAAACTTACAACCCTAGAGGTGTATTCTAACTTTATCCCCAAATGTATCAATATCATATCCACTCTCTCTGCATAATTGAAGAGTGTCTCTACATCACCTTCAATCTAATAGTGCATTTTTATTTTCTCTTATCTCCCATATCCCAAACATATCCACACTGGTCAGTCACTCCATCGAAAGCAAAAATAAAGTCCTATTTGATCACCCCTCCATGATCTGAATGCTCTCTCTTCAATTCTCCATCCATCGGGATTATCTATGTTCTAGGACAGGAATAGTAAATATCTTGTGTGTTTATAAATGCTATATTCTCTCCATGAACATTAATTTGGGGCCCTGGTTAGGTACCGTGATGATAAATATGACCAGGACAGTCTCTGATCACACGGGATATACAGAAGGATCAAAAAAGAGATATAATAATAATCATAATCAATGTGATGTCCTTTACCAGAGTTATGGTTTATAACAAAAGGAAGGAAATGATTTGCTTTGAATGTGGTAGATGTTAAGAACAATAATAGAGAAGAACTGGTATAGGGACTGGATATTTTAGGATGAGGAAGTGCTTGATGACTTGACTGGGTAGAAAACACATCAGTAAGAATGAAACAGAGTGAAAAACAGCAGGGTATTAAGACTCCTCATACCTTCTTGGAATATTCTAGGAAAAAATAATATCCTTATTGATGATATGACTTCATCGACCTGAGCCTGCATAACCCCGTGTCTAAACAATAAAGAAATATTGTGTTTATTTCTTCAAGTTCCTGTGAAGCATAACCAAGTTAACAGTTACAGAGGACTCAGAAACTTCCTGACACATAGCAGGCATTCAAGACAATGAATGACTACTACTGTGTCACATTTCTGAAGAAATGTATGGTTTTCCATGCGGATGGTGGTTGTATGTACTAATCACATAGTACTCTAAAGAGTTACCAAACAACTGAGCATGTCTTGCTTGTCTTCTCAAAGTGTCCATGAAAAAGATGAAAGCATCATCCCTTCTATCTCACCTACAGCAGGCAAAGTATCTCAAACATGCCTTGTGGAGGGGCAGTAGTTGGGAAGAGAAGACTCGCCCACTGCTCCCCTCAGCAGTGTATTTCAGCAGATCTGCCTGTTGTGTTGCCCACTCTGTCTGGTGAATACGCTCACTCCCTGCAACTCTCACCTGGACCCCAGCTCTTGTATGCATAGACAAATACCTCTTTCACACAAAAAAAGAAAGAAAATACATTTGAATCGCACTCCCTTTATATGCATTCCCTGGGGTGTGTTGTCCTGCCTAAATCAGATAAAAATGTTACCTGAGCAGCCCTACCTCGTAAGTACATACAAAGTATGTAAAGGCCAGCTCACGCCAATGTATTTGTTACCATTGCAGTCAGGGGTCAGTGCGTTACAGCTGTTTCAACCCAACAGATGCAGTAAGACAAGACAGAGAAGAACTTGGGCATATTCGCCTCCTCCCTGACCACGCAGTTCAAAGGACCCGCCTATTCCTGCCTCCGCGTAGTGACCATCCCTCCCCAAGGAGCTGTTTGTCCTCATTTTCTCCCCAGCATTTGGATGACTTGCTTGTAACCTCTCACAGGAGAGAGATTGAGTCATCCTAAGATGCGCTCTCAGATGTCATCCTGGAACTACATGCGTGAATGAAGCACTGGCCAAAAGCTCCAACAGACAGACAGACAGACAAACAAACAAAAAAAATGACAACAGAGAAAAGGACACTCGTCACAGGAGGGCAGAAATCTGGGAGTTGATTCACGTGGCCTTGACCCAATGGGAGAGCTCAGAGCACAGCCAGAGTGGGAAATGTCCCTTTTCTATATATAGGGGGATGCATGAGGTCAGAGCAGTGTCCTAATTGACCAAACAAACTGATTCTCTGTGAGTGTCAACAATGAGAGTCCTGCCCTTGGCCAGAGAGAGCCAGCGAGGTATAAAAGAGACGGGAGGAAAGGTGGGGGTCACACTCCAGACCTCACTCTCCTGGACACCGACCCAGAACCTCCGCCCTCCGACACCATGGTCAACTCCTGTTGTGGCTGTGTCTGCCGTGAGCAGGGCTGTGGCCAGGGCTGCTCCCAGGGGACCTGCTGCACCCCTTGCTGCCAGTCCACCGGCTACTGCCCCAGCTGCTGCATGTCCAGCTGCTGTCGTCCCAGCTGTGGTTCCAGCTGCTGCCAGCCCTCCTGCTTTGGCTCCAGTGGCTGTAGCTCCAGCTCAAACTCGGGCTGCTGCCACCCCAGCTGCTCCATGTCCGGCTGCTGTCGCCCCAGCTGTGGTTCCAGCTGCTGCCAGCCCAGCTGCAGCAATTGCAACTGGTGCCAACCCTCCTGCTGTGGCTCCAGTGGCTGTGGCTCCAGCTCCAGCTGCTGCCAGCCCAGCTGCTACATCTGCAGCTGCTGCCACCCCTCCTGCTGTGGCTCCGGTGGCTGTAGCTCCAGCTCCAACTCCAGCCACTGCTGCCCCACCTACTGCGTGTCCAGCTGCTGTCGCCCCAGTTGTGGTTCCAGCTGCTGCATCTCCAGCTGCTGCCAGCCATCCTGCTGTGGTTCCAGTGCCTGTGGCTCCAGCTCTGGCTCCTGCCAGCCCAGCTGCTGCATCTGTAGCTGCTGCCACCCTTCCTGCTGTGGTGCCAGTGGCTGCGGCTCCAGCTCCTGCTGCTGTGGCCCCAGCTGTGGTTCTAGCTGCTGCCAGCCCAGCTGCTGCATCTGCAGCTGCTGCCACCCTTCCTGCTGTGGCTCCAGTGGCTGCGGCTCCAGCCGCTGCAGGCCCCGCTGCAGTATGTCTACTTGCTGCCAGCCCAGCTGCTGCATCTGCCGACCCTCTTGCTGTGGCTCCAGTGGCTGTGGCTCCAGATCCAACTGCTGCCAGCCTAGCTCATATCGCCCCTCCTGCTGTGGCCCCAGTGGCTGTAGTGCCAGCTCCAACTCCAGCTGCTGCTGCCCCAGCTGCTGCCTCTCTTGTTGCTGCCGCCCCAGTTGTGGTTCCAGATACTGCGGCATCTCCTGCTGTGGCTCCAGTGGCTGTGGCTCCAGCTCCAGATGCTGCAGGCCCAGAGGCTGCATGTCTAGTTGCTACCAGCCCAGCTGCTGCATCTGCAGCTATTGCCAACCTCTAGCTGTGGCTCCAGTGGCTGTGGCTCCAGCTCCAGCTGCCCTAGCTCCAGCTGCTGTTGCCAACCCTGCTGCCATTCTAGTTGCTGCCACCTCTTCTGCTGCATCTAGAACTCTTGCCGCTCCTCCTGATGTGGCTCCAATTCCTGCCAGCCATGCTCCATCCCCATTGCCAACCCTGCCACTGCCTGCACCCCATCTCTGGCCCAGTGTGCTGCCAAACACCTGCTATCAACCCGCCTGTGTCATCTCCACATGGTCCCACCCTGCATGCTGTGCTACACCCTATCCCTCTGCCTGTGATCTCTCCTAATGGCCTCACAAATTCACAGAACGCATGGCTCACCTCTCTAACCACTCACATACATCCTCCTTTTGTGCTCACCCTTAGGACCTAAAATGCTGTTGATGCTGCTCTCAACTTTATCGATGTTGCTCTCAACTTTATTGAGCCCACCGCAGTACCTGCAGCCCTTGGACCTCTGGCCAGTGGCCCAATTCTGTTCCTTCCAGATGTTTCTTATCCCATCCTAGTGGGAATTTGTTTGTAATGTTACAGCTCTTGTCTGAGCCTATTCTCCCCCATTTCTCCTTCTTAGCTTTCGGGCCTCAGGGCATCAAGTCCAAGGAGCTAAAAGTTGATTTCAGTATTTCTACCATGATGGAAGTCTAAGGTCTCTCTCAATGGTCCAAAGGCAGACTCTCTTTTATCATTCCTGCTCCCCAACTTATGTTAGGACTCTATACAAAATAAACCACCCCTTCCCTAAAGAACATTCTCATCGTGTGCATACTCTTCTTTAAGATTTTTCGATGGAATGAAATTGTCCTTTACACACACAGGACTGCTGTGAATGGGACATAAAAGCTGAGCCATCTTTCTCACAGCTTAGGTTGCATGGACTGTCTCCTTAGTGCTCAGACAGGAAAGAAAGTCTCAAGAACATCATCAAAAAAAATACATTTCAAAAAATATGGAAACCATTCAGATTCTATGGAACATAGGCAGACGGCTCATAATTATAAGAGTAATAAACTAGGGTGACTGGAGCTGGGAGGAATGGGTGATTTGGAAAAACATACTGAAAGGCTGAGTGTTATACTTCCAAGATGAAAGACAGGGCCTCCCTGGTGCACAAGGGCTCAAGACTCAGCACTATGAAGCAATCCGTAGCTACCATAGTGCGAGTTCGATTCCCAGCCAGGAGCTCACCCACAGCAGACCTCTCCTGTCACACCCGCTGCTCCCCTCAGCAGTGTATTTCAGTCAGTCTGCCTGTTCTATACCCCACTCTGTGTCTGGTGAATCCTCTCACTCCATGCACCTCTGGCCTGTAGCCCAGCTCTTCTATGCAAAAATAAATACATCTCTAAAAAAAAGTGGGGGGCGGGGAAAAGACTGGACTTCAAGCCAGGCTATTTATTGGCTGCCTAGAAATGGGCTCATCTGCAGGCAGCGGGCAGATAAAGCTGAGGATGAATCCCAGGACTTATTCACATGTGAGCAGGTCCCAGCATAGGCTGGTCTACCATGCCAAGGTCTAGACCAAGGTCAACAACAGGACCCTGAGGAATGGGGTGGGGGCGCCTACATGATTGCCCATGATCTGGAGTCTCCAAATTTCCTGATTGCTGTGCATTTGCAGCAATGCTACTTTCCCTGTTGACTTTCCGTGATGCCTGTTTTGGCAGATGACGCAGAAAGAGCACACGCTTCCCCTCACTACTGTCTCCTACACCTCCTGCTACAGACCAGTACTTGGGTTGAATTACAATACAGCACACCGAGAAAATGACCAAACCCCTTAAGGGGAGTCCAGAGCCCAAAAGCTGCACAGGACTAAAGGCGGCTTCATGGATAGCGCCGTTCCTTCTACCAGGGACACATGCTCCACTGTCTTGGTTTTGTTTTTGAAAGACTGATTTATTGATGCAGCCAAGAATTGGGGTACAGCCCAGGGCTACAGGCGGCGACGCGAGAGACACAGTGGGGCGCACAACAGGCAGACTGACTGAAATACACTGCTGAGGGGAGCAGTGGGCGAGACAACAGAGGTCTCCTGAGCCATGTGGGTCTGCGCCCTGGTTGGCCAGGTTTCGAACTTGTGCTACAGAGGCCCATAGCTCACAGGGCTGTGGTTAACCCCTTGTGCCATCAGAGAAGTCCCAGTGGTCTCTCTTTCTAATATACATAGAAATGGAAGATATTACCCAGAACCACTATATCATGAGAAGGGATGAAATTGATGAAATTGATACTGCAATTCTATTATTCTCCCACTGTTTGTTCATTAGCAGGATTCTATCAAAGAATATTCCGGGCCTCCCTGGTGGTGCAAGTGGTTAAGAAAAGAAGCAACCAATGAAACTGTCCGCAGCCCACTGCAGCACGAGTTTGATCCCCACAGCCAGGGAGATACCCACATGGTGCACCAGATCTCTCCTGACTCACCTGCTGCTCCCCTCAGCAGTGTATTTCAGTCAGTCTGTCTGCTCTGCTCCCCACTCTGTCTCTGGTGAATCCTCTCACCCCCACACCTCTGGCCTATACCCCAGTTCTTGGATGCATAAGTAAATGAATCCTCTAAAAATGGGAAAAAACAAAAAAGAAAAGGAAAGAAATAAAGGAACTTCCCCCTCTTCAATGTTTGCTTGTCCTAAGGAATCATAAATATCAGAAAGGCAAAATAAAGTCTTTTGTCCTTTTTCTTAATTTGCCATTGAGCATTCCCCAAATGGTTAAAAGGTGGGGTGTTTTTATATGTAATATGTCTTAATACGAATGCTTGGATTTCAATAGACTGGATGGCATAGAGTCTGTTCCATTTTACATTCCTGTGGATGCTCAAATAAGCAAATTCGGGACGACTGTCCTATTGACGGGAAACCAGTACTTTAGGAGATTTTCTTGCTTTTCATAGAACAGGGCATTCCAGACTCTGTACATCTGCTGCCCCAGACCTCCAGAGGGCTGTTTCATCTCTCACCCCGAGACTGTCCAAACTTTCTTCCCACATCCCTGCACTCTACCCAACCCCAGCTCAATAACCCTTATGGCGCTGAGATATGTATTTGCAACTTTGTGCCCTCTGGGTATCAAAATCACACCCATTCTCTGTGTAGAATTCAAGACTGTCTCTACATCATCCTCAGTCTCAGTGCATTTTTATTTTCTCCACTGTCCCATATACCTGACACATCCACACAGTCAGTCACGCCATTGAAAGGGTAAAACAAACCCCTATTCAGTCATCCCTCCACGATCTGAGCGCTCTTTCTTCTCTTCTCCATCTATCGGGACTATCTCTGTGCTAGGACAGGGCTAGTAACATCTTGTGTTTTCAATAAAGCCTATATTCTCTCAATCAACGTTCATTCAGGGCCCTGGTGAGGTACCGTGATGATAAATATGCCCAAGACAGTCTCTGATCACGCAGGTTATACAGAAGGATCACAAAAAGAGATTTCAAGCAGTCATGATCAATGAGATGCCCCCCCACCGAGGTAGAGTTTGTCACAAAAGAAAGGGAATGATTCACTTTGAATATGGTAGATGTTAACAACAATAATAGAGAAGAATGGGTATCGGGACTGGCTATTTTAGGATGAGGAAGTGCTGGATGAATTCACCGGCTAGAAAGCACATCCTAAGAATGAAACAGCGTACAATAACAGCAGGGTATTAGGAGTCCCCATACCTTCCTGGAATATTCTAGGGAAAACTACTTACTTATTGATGATATGACTTCATCGATCTGAGTCTCAATCACCCCTCGTCTAAACAGTAAGGAAAATGTGCTCGCTTCGGCAACACATATACTAAACAGTAAGGAAAAATGATGTTTACTTCTTCAAGTCCTTGTGACGTGTAAACAAGTTAACTATTACAGAGGACTCAGAAACTTCCTGACACGTAGCAGGCATTCAAGAATATGAACGACTAGCACCGTCTCACATTTCCGAAGAAATGTATGGTTTTCCATGCGGACGGTGCTTGTGCGTACTAATCACACACAGTACTCTACAGAGTTACCGAACCCCTGAGCATGTCTTGCTTGTCTTCTTAAAGTGTCCATGAAAAAGATGAAAGCATCATCCCTCCCATGTCACCGACAGGAGGCAAAGTATCTCTAACACGCCTTGTGGAGGGGCAGTAGTTGGGAAGACAAGACTTGCCCGCTGCTCCCCTCAGAGTGTATTTCAGCAGATCCGCCTGTTGTGTTGCCCACTCTGTCTGGTGAATGCGCTCACTCCCCACAACTCTCAACTGGACCCCAGCTCTTGTATGCATAGACAAATAGCTCCTTCACACAAAAAAAGAAAGAAAATGCATTTGAATCACACTCCCTTTATATGCATTCCCTGGGGCTTGTTGTGCTGAAATCAGATACAAATGTTACCTCAGCAGCCCAACCTTGGAAGAATATTCAATCATCATTCAAGTATGTAAAGGCCACCTCACGCCAATGTATTTGTTACCATTGCAGTCAGGGGTCAGTGCGTTACAGCTGTTTCAACCCAACAGATGCTGTAAGACAAGACAGAGAAGAGCTTGATGGGCATATTCGCCTCCTCCCTGACCACACAGTTAAAAGGACCCGCCAATTCCTGCCTCCACATAGTGAACATCCTGCCCAAGGAGCTGCTTGTCCTCATTTTCTCCCCAATATTTGGATGACTTGCTTGTAACCTCTCACAGGAGAGCAGATTGAGTCATCCTAAGATGCGCTCTCAGATGTCATCCTGGAACTACATGTGTGAAT